GCCCTCCCCCCCCAAATGGTGTCCTGCTTTACCAATGTTAAAATCTGGTCACATTATGCTATGGTATCACAGCTCACAGCAACCTCAAACTCTCGGGCTGAAGCGATTCTCTTGCCTCAGCCTCCCAAGTAGCTGGGACTACAGGTGCCTGCCACAACTCCCAACTTTTTTTTTGTTGCAGTTGTCATTGTTGTTTAGCTGGCCCGGACCAGGTTGAACCTGCCATCCTCAGTATATGTGGCTGACACCATAACTACCGTGCTATGGGTGCCAAGCCCACATGCTGATTTTGTATTGAAGTATATACCAGTGATCTTCAGCCTATGATATAGGTTACGATCACCTATAGACCTTTTAAAAAATACAGTATTCTACTGTATGATGTCACTCATACTGTATGTGGAATCTAAAAAAGTCAGATTCTTAGAAGTAGAGTGTATAATGATGCTTACCAGAGATAGAAGATAGAAAGTGGACAGAGAGGAGAGATGTGGGTCAGTAGGGACGAACTTACAGTTAGGAGGAAAAAGTTTGTGTCCTATTGCAAGGTGACTAATGTATATTTCAAGGACCAGGCATGGTATCTCACACCTGTAATCCTAGCCCTCTGGGAGGCTAAGGCAAGTGGATTGTTTGAGCTCAGGAGTTCAAGACCAGCCTGAGCAAGAGTGATGCCCTCATCTCTACTAAAAAAAATAGAAAAAAACTAATGGGCATTGTGGTGGGCACCTGAAGTCCCAGCTACTTGGGAAGCTGAAGCAAGGAGATCACTTGAGCTTGACAGTTTGAGGTTGCTGTGAGTTAGGACACCACTGCACTCTACCCAGGGCAATAGGGTAAGACTCTATTTCAAAAAAAAGTAAAAATGTATATTTCAGATAGCTAACAGAAAGGATTTTAAGTGTTCTTATCACAAAGAAATGATAAATATTTGAGGTTACATAGATTTTCTAACTAGCCTGATTTGGGCAGTCTAAAATATATACATGTATGGAAACATCACATTGTACCCTGTAAATATATACAATTATTATTGGCCTATTAAAAATAAAATTAGTTTTTTCTTTTTCAAAAACTTTAATAGCTTTAGGATATATATATTGAATTCCATTACATATATTATTGCACTACATTGTAGTACAATATTGTGTTGTAGTAAATATAAAATTATTTTAAAATCCAGTGTTCTAATCTCACCTCGGATCTAGTGACTTAGGGAATGAGGCTGTAGACACAGATGCTGAAATGCTCCCCAGGTTATTCTGATTTATTTCATGGGTACCAAAATCCCTAAAGGTTCTCAACAAGAAAAGAGGTGGCTTACCTCCTTAGGCTTATATCATGCCTACATGTAAAGTAGCCTGAAGTAACTTAGTAACTGTAATAACAATGTAAAATAAATTTAACATTGATTAGCATTTATGTTGAATGCCAATGGCAGTTAATCACTCAAAAACCATTGAACTAACTCACTGTTTAGTCATTACTGATAATTCGATGCAAAGTACAAAAAATGGGATAAAAATATAGGAGTCCTAAGAAAGAAGTACCAATTTATTTACCTTATCTTGTTCTTTGAAAGACTTTATGTCTTACAAAAATTAGATAATTATAATTCTCTCTCCTCCTTAAATCACTAATGCTCTTGTAATCACTTGGTGGTATAAAATTTCATTTTATTGAGAAATGTTTTCTTCCCACATTATTTCTTGGCTTATGTTATGCTTTCTCCTAGATTTTAAAATAGTTTTGAATTCCCATTTATTTATATAAGTAACATATAAAATTACACATTACTCAATACATTTTTAGAATAATAACTTTATTTTATTTATTTTGTTTGGTGGGTGGGGGAGACAGTCTCACTTTGTTCCCCTTGGTAGAGTGCCATGGCATCATAGCTCACAGCAACCTCAAAGTCTTGGGCTCAAGTGATTCTCCTGCCTCAACCTCCTGAGTAGCTAGGAGTACAGATGCCCACCACAACACCCAGCTGTTTTTAGAGATGGGTTCTCGCTCTGGTTCAGGCTGGTCTTGAACCTGTATGCTCAGGCAATCTACCAGCCTCAGCCTCCCAGAGTGCTAGGATAGAATAATGACTTTAAATGTGAAGTTGAGTATATTGTGCGGAGTTCTTCAAGTCATCACACCAATAATAGTCATTGTGTACAGCACATCCGTTCTAGATAATACATATTTCACTTCTATTATCATTACTGATAATTATCTTCCAAGATAATTAGTGCTTATATTTATATGACACTGAAAATGCATGGGACTGGGAGGATTTAAGTCAAAATATTTATTGGTCAAGGCACTGCTAACTTCTAAAACAGATAAATTTCAGTTCCATGTGAGTGTTCTTGCTTGAGTGATCTTTTACGTATCTTATTTTTTCTTTCATCTGAGTCCTCAGTCTTCTTTCAGCCTGCAGGCAGGGAGACAGAGTTTGGGAAAACCATGCCTGTCCTTCACCGCTTTAAGGTGAACCATGTGATGTAACACAGTACATTCCATTATAAGACCATACCTAATTGCAAGAATAGTTGGGAAATGTCATCTAGCTATATTCTCAGGGGGAAGGTGAAGGGGTTTTGGTGAACACACAGTAAGTCTCTACAATAACCCTTATCTCTACCAGAATCTATGACTCTTGGCAAGACACTTAATCTCCTTGGTTTCAGTCCCCTTTACTTTAAGAGATAAGTAACTTTTTATTTTTTGATAAGATTATTAGTTATATTAAGAAGATTCTCTTAAAATATCATGAAGCTTGATTCAACAAAGCATTTGTCAGAATCATAATATCCTTAAAAGAAGATCTGATGAGAAATGAGAACAAAGCTATGGCACAGTAGGTGGTTTGGTGGTTACTTGCATAACCAACAGATGTTGTTTACTTGATTTAAGTGATCCTGGAGAGGGGGTTTGGTGGTAGAGGTGGGGAGGGTGTGGACTCAAGACTTCATTTTTAGTACTAATATTTTTACTTTTTCCACAGTTTCCATCAGTGAGTCAAATGGAAACATAACTCATATACTTCATATTATAATTTGGAAATTTCAGATAAAATTTTAGACACCTGGATTATGCTATCAAATTGCTTTAATCTGTAATAAAAGTTATAGTTACACTTTTGAGGACTGGCCAGAATATTACAAGAATTATTCATAACACTTTTTATGGCAATATATTTTACAAATGAACTGGGGATAACCTTTTTTTTTTTTTTTTTTTTTTGAGAATCTTACTATGTCACCCTCGATAGAGTGCTGTGACAGTCTTACTTTGTCACCCTCAATAGAGTGCTGTGGAATCATAGCTCACAGCAACCTCAAGCTGTTGGGCTCAAGCCAATTCTCTTGCCCCAGCCTCCCAAATAGCTGGGACTACAGGCATCCACAATACTGCCTGGCTATTTTTTAGACGTTTAGAGACAAAGTCTCGCTCTGAGCTCAGGCTAGTCTCAAACCCATGAGCTCAGACAATCCACCTGCCTCAGCCTCCCAAGTACTAGGATTACAGGTGTGAGCCACTGTGCCTGGCCCATACAGTATTTTTTTTTTTTTTTAAGTAAAGGATGACTTGGGTTTGTATCTCTAAAATAGTTACACTGTCTTTCTGCCTTCAAAGATAAGAATATAATGATCTTTCTCTCTCTCTCTTTTTTTTTTCCTTTTGGCTTAACCATTGCTTTGTATTTTTATTGAAAAAAATTTTTTAATCTCTGCCCAGTTACTACAATGAAATAGGAAACCATAATTGCAATTTATAAACTGTGGCATGGAAAGCAACACATATCCTATCAGAAGTTATACCAAACTTCTTCCTTTTTATTCATAGAATGATCTCTTAGGCCCTTAAATATAATATTAGGAGATACGGTTCTCAATATGAACATAGCTTGGCACTTCTTTAGCAGAGATGTTGGGTTTAACAGAGAAAAGAAAGACCTCAAAAACAGGTACTGCAAAGAATATGTGTAGCTATTAACTAACATGTCATGTTCACTCAGTGTTCACAAAACAAGTCTGACTTCAGTCATCATTGGTTTTAAAAGACTAAAATGATGAATGACTATACATTAATATTGATAAGTAGCATCGATTTCTTCTATTGCCTTTGAAGGCTTAAATAGGACTTAATAGGAAAAACCTTTTTAATGTGATAGGGATATTTCAAAATCCATGTTTTCTTTCTTTTCAGGACTTCCAATAGTAGTCACACATCATCCTGCCATACTATGGAGCCATGTTCATCAGATGAATTTTTCCAAGCCCTTAATCATGCCGAGCAAACCTTTAAAAAAATGGAAAACTATCTGAGACATAAACAGTTATGTGATGTAATTTTAGTCGCTGGTGATCGCAGAATTCCAGCTCACAGGTAATTGTTTTCTGCATTTCTACATGTGTGAAATAGTTCCTTGATAATTTAGTTGCATATATTAAGGTAACTTACTCCAATTAACTATCATGTTTTGGGGAAGGGGTATCACAGAATTTCTACCCAGAAAACAGCCACATGAAATTATTACATATTAAATGATCCTAAAAGGATAATTTTCCCTTTGTGGAAGCACAGAAACAAAACACCCAAGCCTCAGATAAATTAGTGGATTTTAGCTACTGTAAGCAGCTTTCATCCCATGTTCTACCTATTACTACCTTAAATAAACTCAATGGAAATTAGAGGTAGTGGTTATTTTTAAGAAAAAAAGCTAAAAAAACAAAAAAGAAAAGAAAAAGAAAAAAAGCTGAAGAAATGGAGTAGCAGAAAGTCTTAGGAGTTTTGAAATAGCCACATCTATCCCCACTTCTGTTTGCTCATCTATAATAAGTATAAAAAGTAGCTTTGGGAAAAAAGCCTTTGTCACAAATGATGTATTATTTCTTGAAGAAGAAGAAGAAAAGAGCTGCTTAATAAAGAATAATTCATTTTCTTCTCATAATTCTATATTCAATTGCTCATTGTTAATCACCACTATGATTCTCAAAGGTTTTTTAATTAATGCCCTTCAAAACTAATTAACTCTGTCCCAGAGGTTGATTTTTTTTTTTTTAAGCTCTCCAAAGTAGAAGTAAAATCATTAGGAAGAATGGTTTGAGCTTACTGTTTTAGTCACTCAGTTAGCATACATTTATTGAGATACTACTATATCCTGTGACCAAAAGTCCATGTTATGAGCATGGTTTGTTAGAAAAGATATTTCAGGCTCGGCGCCTGTGGCTCAATCGGCTAAGGCGCCAGCCACATACACCTAAGGTGGCGGGTTCAAATCCCCAGCCCGGGCCCGCCAAACAACAATGATGGCTGCAACCAAAAAATGGCCGGCGCTGTGGCCGGCGCCTGTGGTCCCAGCTACTTGGGAGCCTGAGGCAGGAGACTCACTTGAGCCCAGGAGTTGGAGGTTGCTATGAGCTGTGAGGCCATGGCACTCTACCCAGGGGGATAGCTTGAGGCTCCGTCTCAAAAAAAAAAAAAAAAGAAAAGAAAAGAAAAGATATTTCACCCTGAATTTCACAGAGGTAGCTCAAATTCAAATTTCCAAAACTGAACTCCTTACCTTATCTGCCATGCTTGTGCAAGCCATCACCATCTCACTTAGATTACTAATGCAAGAGCCTCCTAACTGGTCTCCCTGCATCTAGTCTCCCCTGCATTCTGTTTTTAACCACAGCAACCAGAGTGATCCTTATAAAAGGAACTCAGACTCCATCGCTCCTCTGATCAAACCTTTCAGTGACGCCTCATGTCACAGCATGTGGCTGGCGTGATCCAGCCTGCCATTGCCTCTCTGACGTTCTGTCCTGGTGCTCCCCTTCCTCACTCTGCACAAGCCACCTGCACCCCCTTGTAGTTCCTGGTACGTGCAGGCCTGTTGCCCCTGCACTTGTACTTTTACATCAGCTATTCCTGCCCCAGTGCTATGTCCAGATACCTGTGTGAGTAAACCCTGCATCTCCTTCACCTCCCAGGGAGGCCACCAGTTTAAACTCACTACCCTTTCTCCACTTCCCTTTATACTACATTTTTCCCCCAGCACCACCTTTTATTTACTATAGAATTTACTTCTACGGTTCACTCTCTCCCTGCCCTCTAAATGTAAAACCTCCTTAGAGGTTTTTTCCGACTGTTTTGTGCCCTGATAGACTTTAATATCTGAAACAGTGCCAGTCCTTATTTGGTACACATCAGTATTTGTTCAGTGAATGACTAAAGGAATGAATGAATGGATGAATAGACAATTCTCTGAAGAAGGAATATGAATGGCCAATAAACATTTGAAAACTTCACTAGCAAGTAGATGAACAGAAATTAAAATAGAAATTAAAACAATCAGAACTCTACAGGTGGCCAAAAATTTTAACATCCGACAGTATTGTAGGGGAGATGTTAGTCTTATACTTATGGGGGGGAGTGTCTAAATGTGTATAGGCATTTAGAGAGCAATTTGGTGAATCTTGTGACTCAGAAATGCTATTCCTGGGGAGGGAGGAGAATAAAAGTAGAGAAGGACACAAAGGGAGCAACATATTTTTATTTCTTTAAAAAAATGAATAAAGTACATCAGTGTAAGTATATTGACATGGAAATATATTCAAGACATTATCAAGTGAAAAACATGCATGTCTCAAAAATATATATTTATTTTGATGATTCACACCTATGATTCTAGCACTCTGGGAGGCTGAGGCAGGTGGATTGCCTGAGCTCAGGAGTTTGAGACCAGGCTGAAGAAGAGTGAGACCCTATCTCTATAAATAGCCAGGTATTGTGGCAGGTGCCTATAGTCTCAGCTAGTTGGGAGGCTGAGGCAAGAGTTTGAGCTTGTGATGAGATTTGATACCACAGCACTCCACCAAGGGCAACAAAGTGAGACTCTGTCTCAAAAAAAAAAAAAAAAATATATATATATATATATACACACACACACACATATGTTTATAACTATTCTTATGAGACTATCAAATATCTGAAGAGACATAGCTAATACATATATATAGTGACATAACAAATACATAACAAAATATTAAAATATACTATAATATTAAAAATTTAACATAGGCGTTAAAAGTAACTTGCTGAAACAATTTTCCAATGTCTTCCATACCTTCACTATTCCCACAGATACAGTTTTTTAAAATACCTTAGGTTATTTTCAAAAATGATCAACAGAAAATAACCTTTACATTTTTTCCCTTTTGTGTAGAGTTGATTTAATGCTATGGGCTTGCAGCTTGCTTTCTGGATGTTATAAAGTGATATTTGAATAGTGAGCAGGTAAATCATTTACCTCAGCAGAAAATTTTCAGTAATGGTAATTTATTATTTAAAGGAAAGAAGCAGACCACAAAGCAATTTGTCAAACTTAAAATCTGTTTCCCTGTACCATGCACTTTCCATGGGTAACAAATTTTAAAGAAGAAGAAACAACAGCATTTATTAATGAACATCAACTTGAATGTGGTCATTGTTTTTTTTTTTCCTAATGTGTTGTCAGATTGGTGCTGTCCTCTGTCTCAGATTATTTCGCTGCCATGTTTACTAACGATGTCAGAGAAGCAAGACAAGAAGAGATAAAAATGGAAGGTGTAGAACCGAATTCATTGTGGTCCTTGATTCAGTACGCATATACAGGTAGTAAGTCTGAAAATGTAAATTAAAACCTCTTAGATTCATATTGTATTATTAGATTTCTGATTTCTGCTTCTAATAAATCATAGCTAACAGTTAATTCTGCCATTGTTCTCAGCACCTCTGGTGATGCTTATATAAGTTAAAATTCCACATTAAAGCCTTTAAAATGATTATCATAATTAAGCTCTTGAATGGTATTTTAAAATACTAATAATTGGATGAGTTATGTAATATCAAGGTTTTACATTTAAAAATTGAGTATTATATATTTGGGTATAGTAGATCTATATTACTAATCAGTGCAAAATTTTTAAATTCTGAAAATAAGTCATTATGTATAGTTTTTATTTTAGTTTTTATTCTAGTTTTTCATTTTAGTAAAGATTGTGAAGAGCTAATAAATGTTTTCCACATTTAGTACTTGTTTTTTCTTTTATGAATGTGTCTTAAACTGTCTAGGTCTGTAATATATGTAATGAGCTGTTATTTAGAAATACTACTGTTAACATCAGTTATTTTATACAATAAGACTGAGGTAGTTCCACAGCTAATGGAATTTCTTGTTATCATTCAGGCCGCCTTGAATTAAAAGAAGATAATATTGAGTGCCTATTATCTACAGCTTGCCTTCTTCAGCTTTCACAGGTTGTAGAAGCATGCTGTAAGTTTTTAATGAAACAGCTTCACCCATCCAACTGTCTGGGAATCCGTTCTTTTGCTGATGCCCAAGGTTGTACAGATTTGCACAAAGTGGCTCACAATTACACTATGGTATGTATATTTGAGAAGCAGAAAGGCATATCTGCTCTGCCTTTTCCCTTATTGTGGCAGACTTACCTGCATATTGCTGTTTTCCCATGTCTCTGCCACGTGTCTTGAGGTTCAAACTCACTGTCTGGTGTGTCATATTTTCAGTGAGTTATGAGGGAAAAAACACTGAGTAATACTTCTCCTGGATATATGAATCAAGCCCTAAGTTATTACACTTGCTGAGAAGCAGAATAGTACAGCCCAGGACTGTTCCATTTGCCATCTTCAGATCTGCTGCTTTTTAAAGCAGGATTTCTCCAAACATTTTACCATATTGCACATGGATGAATTTTAGAATTGTTCACATATTTATTAATGGAAGTTGGTCATAGTGGTTGTAGGATATTGGTAGAGCTTGAATGGGAGACTTTTTATTAAGGATAAATCTGATTTTAAGTAAGAAGTGTTTCTGGCCATATTGCATGATGTTGCTATTACTTGTAGCAAATTATATATTCAAGACAAATCATAAAGGAGGTTCTGATCCAGGAGCCTGAAGGATAATGGAATATGGATTAATCTATGATAGGAAGAAAATAAGAGCAAAAAAATGAAGGTTTGTTGTTAGGACCAACCTTCATGCTGGTCAACCTTCAGTTGAGAGGTGTGGGGAAGGGAGGGTCTGTGGATTTTTAAGGAATGACCTTGTTCCCACATTACATAATGCCACACCAGTAAGTTCAGTCAGTAAATGGCATGTGTGCTGGGCCTGTTCACCCATCCTATGTGAATACAGGTAGGAAAGGATGAGTTCCCTCTCAGGATCCTGGAATCTGGAAACCTTTTTTCCATTCCTAACTGTCACTGAATGTAACCTGGAAGCTATTGGCTTTAAATGCTTCTACTAAGGCAATACAGTCTGTGAAAAAGAAAAAATGTGAAATTTATTTATCTGTACAGTTATTCGACTTTTAGGAAATATTATTTTGTCTGCCCTACTCCTTCCATTGAGTTGGTTGGGATATGAAGAGATTGGTGATGCTTTAGGAGTCTTTCATTAGAGAAATAGATTTAGAAAAGTTGTAAGAATAGGTACTTACAAACTATTGGGAAGATTAATTATATATGCTTCATACGCTTGATGCGAATTAATAGAAGTTTAACATTCAGAACAGTGATTGGTATATCATATACCTAGTCAATAAATGACATCAAACTGTCATCATCATCCCTACATAGATTTACTCTATTCAGTACACTAGGGATCTATGCAGGAGAACAAAAGGACCATACAAAACCTCAGCCTTCATGATTGGTTTTCTCCCTGTGGTGTAATCACTTCCTAGGAATGTTTCTTTTTTATGATCATCCCAGGGCCTCAACTGAAAAATAAGGGATTATGCAGTAGAACAGAAATATACAGACCTAGCATGGTATTAAGTTGACATTTTAAAAATTAAGTCCATTGAAAGATTTTCCCTTCTCAATCTTTGCCATCTTTGTAGATTCTGATTTTATCTTTATACCTGCATTCACAAATAACTTTTTGGAATAAGATGAATATAAAATAAAGATGGGTTTTTTCTTCATAAGTTCATAACGTGAGTAGTATCTTTTTCCCAGGAAGAAGTTTTATTCACATGGAAATATTTGTATGCAATTAGGTCACTCCTGTTGTTTATAGTAGAGACACAATTGCTGCTTTACAGCTTACACATAAGTTAAATTTAAATTCAGTGTTCTTAAGCCTATTTTCATAGTCAATTAGTTGGGGTATATTTTTTTCTCAAGGCCTTTATTTCATGTTATTCTGTTTTAACAGAGACATGAAATTGAGTTCTAATAACAATAAGTAATTTAGAGGCAGATTGTCTAATTTGAATTGTTGCTATGGGAACCAAATGAGAATGTATAGCAAAATTCAATCTTCAATTTAAATAAATCCCTCAGTAATTTCATTTCCTTAAAAAGTGTTCCAAAGGGGGAAAGGGCACAATGCTAGCAAGTGTTTGGTAGGATGACAATTGTTGGTATCATGAAGTGGAAGTAAAATTATATGAAGTAAGCGTAATGCCACCCCAGCAAGTTCAATCGTTCTATCAATAAGTGGCATGAGTGGTGCTTGTGCTGGGCCTGTTCCCCCATCCTGCGTGAATACAGGTAGGAAAGGATGAGTTCCTTGCAGGATCCTGGAATCTGGAAACCCTTTCTTCTCGTCCTAACTTGCCACTGAATGTAACCCGGAGCAAGTCAGCCTCTAAAAAATGTCTAACATTGGTTATACCATTAAAATTATTTAAAGCCGGCTCAGCGCCTATAGCTCAACCGGCTAAGGCGCCAGCCACATACACCTAAGGTGGC